ATTGATTCTGCTTAGATAGTTTAATTGACATCTAGGTACAATTCATACAATACGCGATAATACAAACTAACAATCTATGAGTGATACTAACCGAAATGTGCAAAAGAATTCTATTCTGATTACTTAACAACCTTGGTTGTATTATATTCTCTGAGTAGCTGGACTGTTCAATCGTGGAGACGCTTTCATCGTCTTTCTAGACAGCGACATCATCCACAGCACTAAATTCAGTATGAAGTGATCTACCTGTCACAATCTCTCTATGAGTGATTCAGTACTATGCCCTGACGAAGTGGTTTGTGATTGGTTGTTTGCCTTGATTATTGTGTCATTGACTCACTGGATAGATTTTGCTGTTGACTATTCTTCTGCTTCACCTCTGACCTTTCTATCTTCTATCATTTCTCTTACTGGTGGGTAGATTGATTTTATGTCCAAATATCTATTGATTGCTTCCAGAAATTCTCCGATATTCTTTGTGTTTTCTCTCTCTATCCAACATTTCTACATTGTCAGCATTCAATTCATGTCCATAGTTGTTATCCATGTGGATTGAGCGATTACGTTTAATAGCCAATTAGTGTTCTGATATAGAAGAAGGTGAAGAGGGCGACCACTTTGTCCAATGTTGTGTTGACTGCAGTTATTCTTTGGTTGCTGCATCGTCTGGTGTGCATAACAGTATTTGAAGGGAACTTGTTTGTTTATGAGGCGCCTCACATCAATTCCATATGGTCTCAGTAATCTGATCGTGATTTTTGATATATTATTGATGTACCGTACGATGCTGCATTTGTAGACTTCTGTCGATGGCTTTGTAGTTGATGCTGTACGGCATAGGCAACTTCTGATAAAGTGTCGTAGGTAGCCATTATTCTTTACGATAGACGTCAAGTATTTTGTTCGTTTCTCTGTGAAGTTGTTGTACTTCACAATGTGTTCTCAATCATTTGAATAGAGTCTTCACGCAACTAATTTTGTGTGTCGTTGAGTTATTGCTACTGTGGTTGAGGATTTGTTTAGTGTTGACTTCCTGCACACTTGAGTTTCCAGCTTTCCGGTATTTGTCGTACTGACTATAACATCCAGGAATGGTAGTTGAATGTGATCCACTCCTTCACGATTGTGAATTTGATGGCAGTGAAAACTTTGTTTGTCAAACTGTAAGTGTTTTCTACATCACCTCCTTTTTAATGATGACAGATAGAATGATAGCTTCGAGTCTCTGCATCACTGCTTCTAGAATTAGTCTGGATTTCCATGACCGCACTGGGGTTCCTTTCATCTATTGAACCACCTCCACAAAATCTATGGGAGGAACCTCAATATTTAATTTTTTGTTTTACATTACAGGCAGATCTCAGACAGAAATTAGATAAAATTATGGATATATAAGACAATTCAGTAATTACTGATACATTAATGGTGTTCAGAGTGGATGACTAGTAAAGGGTTCGAACCCATGAAGAAACAGCTGTGTTGTGTATAGACAAAATGATAAGCCTATGGTAGAATGGTGGTTGAAGTTGTCTTAGATATACATTATATTATATCCATTCGATATTTGATAATTCACACTGGGTGACCCGACGGGATTCGAACCAGCGACTATTGAATGAATTCCTCCTTATTATATATCTATTCGTTTATGTGTTTGTTATATCCTACCAATGCGTACATTAATAATTACCAGTTGATTAATTTAGAGCACTGAGCCAGAAACCTGTTGGTCGGTGGTTCGAATCCGGCTATGTAGTAAAAATGTTCACTTTACTTTCAATTATTACTCAGTATTAGTAATACGAGTCTGTCATACTCCACGGCTATTTCAGATAGTCAAGTGGTAATTATATATTAGAAGAAGTATTCATCATGAACTGATATCAGCTGAGGGAACTATTGAAAATGTTGGAACTTCTAGATATCCGATATCAGTCCAAGATGAGTACTACTTCGAAACTGAAAATCATCATTCCTCTCAAAAATACATTACTGTATAGTACTCATCAGTCGACTTGCATCCACATGGATAAGATATCAGGAAGCTGTAATGAGAAGCTGTGATCTGTGCGGTCAACCAGTCGGAAGTGAAGTGGATGCTAACCGAAAGAAGACTTTGGGTGATAGTCACTCTATATCATCGTGAATTGACAGAAGGTGGAAACTGTGACAACCACTAAAAACACACCCAATAACCAAATGCTTAACACGTTAGCCGTAAAACCTGAAGGTCATGAGTTCCATCCCTAGTTGAGTCGTCGCTGCCTACTACTCAGGAGTCGCATACTAGTTGGATGAAACAGTTATCCAGTTCTCCCACATCTTCAACACTTCCCCCAATTAATATCACTCCATGATGAGATTATTGCTTAAAGTGGAATATCGATTTCCAGTTAACCACACAATCTTCATTCATCATTGTTATTCTCTTACCAACTTCATCACTCTTCTATGCATTTGACTGTCTAACTGTTTGACTGGATTTTCATTCAATTATTGTTACACTTGAGCAATCTTCATAACTCTTTCTGTAATGGTTCATTTTATTCATGATGACGGTTTTTCTTCTCTTATCCAAAGGACACTAGGAAAACAGATGAAGGTGATTTACTAGAAAACAAAGATTATGTGAACAATATGTGTGTGTGTGTGTGATGTATTTGAGTAATACACACTTCGAGCAATCTGATCCCCCCCCCCCCACCTGCCTCCCCGCCACACACACACTTACTCTTCTCAAGTCATCAGTTTACATATGGAAGTGAAGAGAAAGAAAACTTGATGGTCAATTCTGATGAATATGAAAAGGTTGTGACATTAGTTTTGGTGAAACAACAACAACAACAACAACGGAGGCTGAATTCTATGAATGGCTAACACTACGACATATTCCAGTATACACCTCTAACTGTTCTTTATATAATATCTTGAATGATGTTTTCGTATTCACCTTATAATTCATTTAGATGGTTATGTGTTGCTATGACTGAAGATGGATGTCTGTCACCTGTATGTATCATAGTTTGTGTATTCAACTACCGTAGTCTTCATTGAAGGGATACTCCTCTTGATGTGTGTGTGCGCACATATATATGTAAACTGATAAACTCAGTGTGAAGTAATGTAATCATATATCCGAATTTGATGTTCTTGGTTGTATTGTTCTAACCCAACCCAGCTCAGAGAACACAATACAACCAAGACTATCCATCTGAGCTATAAATATTCTCCATCATTTCAAGATCATACGAGCGTGACACACTTCACGTTGTTCGAAGTTGATGTTCGTCGTATTTTAAGAAATGTATCCTTCTTTGAGACCGAGAAAATTGTAGGCATTGGACAGGTAGTTGCTCAGTTGGTACAGTATCGGACCAGAAACTCGATGGTCACCGGTTCGAGTCTGACGGCAGTCCACATTTTTATTTCACCTTCAATCATCACTGAGTATCAGTAATGTTAGTCTGTCAAATCAGGGCTACTATCTCAGATAATCGAAATGATAATTGATAACGTCACATTCTACTGTGTTTACCAATCTACATATATGTGTAGGAACACATACATCAGGAGGAGCAACCCTTCAATGAAGACACAAACTATGATACAGACAGGTGACAGACATCCATCTTCAGTCATAGCAACACATAACCATCTAAATGAATCAAAAGGTGAATACGAAAACACCACTCAAGATATTATATAAAGAACAGTTAGAGGTGTATACTGGAATATGCCATAGTGTTAGCCATTCATAGAATTCAGCCTCCGTTGTTGCTGTTGTTGTTTCACCAAAACTAATGTCACAACCTTTTCATATTCATCAGAATTGACCATCAAGTTTTCTTTCTCTTCACTTTCATGTGTAAACTGACGACTTGAGAAGACTAAGTGTGTTTGCGTGTGTGTGTGGCGGGGAGGCGGGTGGGGGGGAGGGGGATCAGATTGCTCGGAGTGTGTATTACTCAAATACATCACACACACACACACATATTGTTCACATAATCTTTGTTTTCTAGTAAATCACCTTCATCTGTTTTCCTAGTGTCCTTTGGATAAGAGAAGAAAAACCGTCATCATGAATAAAATGAACCATTACAGAAAGAGTTATGAAGATTGCTCAAGTGTAACAATAATTGAATGAAAATCCAGTCAAACAGTTAGACAGTCAAATGCATAGAAGAGTGATGAAGTTGGTAAGAGAATAACAATGATGAATGAAGATTGTGTGGTTAACTGGAAATCGATATTCCACTTTAAGCAATAATCTCATCATGGAGTGATATTAATTGGGGGGAAGTGTTGAAGATGTGGGAGAACTGGATAACTGTTTCATCCAACTAGTATGCGACTCCTGAGTAGTAGGCAGCGACGACTCAACTAGGGATGGAACTCATGACCTTCAGGTTTTACGGCTAACGTGTTAAGCATTTGGTTATTGGGTGTGTTTTTAGTGGTTGTCACAGTTTCCACCTTCTGTCAATTCACGATGATATAGAGTGACTATCACCCAAAGTCTTCTTTCGGTTAGCATCCACTTCACTTCCGACTGGTTGACCGCACAGATCACAGCTTCTCATTACAGCTTCCTGATATCTTATCCATGTGGATGCAAGTCGACTGATGAGTACTATACAGTAATGTATTTTTGAGAGGAATGATGATTTTCAGTTTCGAAGTAGTACTCATCATGGAGTGATATTAATTGGGGGGAAGTGTTGAAGATGTGGGAGAACTGGATATCTGTTTCATCCAACTAGTATGCGACTTCGGAGTAGTAGGCAGCGACGACTCGACTAGGGATGGAACTCACGATCTTCAGGTTTTACGGCTAACGCGTTAACCATTCGGTTACTGGGTAGATTTTTCGTGGTTCACCTTCAATCATCACTGAGTATCAGGAATACCAGTCTGCTATACTCCATGGCTATTTCAGATAATCAAATAATTATTACATATTGATAGATAAATAATGTTTATTTCTCCGAAATTTTTCTCAGGTTCACCTTGGTGATATACATACATGTTCATGTGATAATTATGTAAAGACACAGGAACTTTGTATTCATATATGTTGGTTACTAATTAAGCGATTGAAAGTTGATCCAAATAATCCAAGTAATTTGTAAAGAGAATGTTTTCATGAAGATAATTCGATTTAGTATCCTGGCAATTAGGATTAGTTGAACGTGAGATATCAGCACTTTTACATGGACAATATACAATAAGGAATAAACATTCTGAAGGAACAATGAATATATCATTAAATAATGAAGAGAATAATATTGAAAAGGTTTGTTTACTTATATATGTCATGTTTCCTTCTTCTTTTTTGTTGTTGAGTAAACACTAACTATTTGTTCAATGTTTGAAAAGGCTGGAAAATCTACAGGTGAAAACTAATAAGTTGACAGAAGAGGCAAGGCAGAGAAAACGAGACTCCCTGTAAATGAACGTAGAGAAGACAGATGTGATGAAGATACCTAACCAACGCCACCACCACATCAACGAGATAAACTTAAAGGAAGTTGCCTCTTTCACCTACCTAGGAGGCAGCATCGTTTCAACTACAGATGGTACAGGCATAGATGAGAACGTCGAGGCCAGCATCACAAAGACAATAACACAGGCTTTCATTATTCTGAAGTGATCAGTGTAGAGATCTACTGCACTGCATTCGACATAAAGAACAACATCCAGATTTTTAACACCAATTCAGTCAAGTCAGTGTTACTATATGGTTCAGAAACTTGACGTGTCATGAAAAGCACTTCCAACAAACTACAGATAATCATCAACAGCTGCCACCGCTGGTGACGAACCAACCAACAACCTATCACCCAATAAATATGCAGTAGAAGAAAATGGAGATGGATTGGGCATACACTGAAAAGACCGACTGAGGACATCACTCTCCAGGTCCGTTTCTCAAGTGGAACCCAGATGCGAAACGGGAAGTTGGGCGTCACAGATGAGGGTGACACGGAAGAGTAGATTGTGTGAGAAAAAAAATGAAAGGTTGTGGGCAGTCATGGAGCCAGGTTGAAAAGACTGAAGAGAAGACAGTGCAATAGAGGCGTGCTACTGAAGCCCTATGTACCACTAGGAACGCAAGGCAAAATATTAATGAATAAATACTATTGAATTACGTTCATCAAATTTAGTAATTATTATGTTATTGTCATTTTGTAGATTATTCACAATTGAATTTTCAAGTCTTGTTAAGTTTCGTTGTCAATTCTTTTGTCTTTTCAACGTTAACCTACACTGTGCTCTAATCTGTCCACCGATTGGTGTATCCACTGAGCTTAATGTTACCTCTATACAAGGTATGAACATCTTCATGTTTTAGATAACCTATTGTCAAGATAAAACGAAGGACAGGCACATATGGTTTGGATACTACCGTCTACAGGAATTCGACACATTCTGACTGGTAGGTTATCTAGACTTCACATCATCTCAGCCAATATCAGTTAGTCAAGGTAGGTTCACTCGAATCTCTAAATGACAGAGCTAGAAAACTGACTAGTCAGTCAAAAGACTTCAGCAACATCAGTAGAAAGGAGTTCATAGGCTTTAGAGGTGAGTTTTGTCGTTCAAGTACATAGCAATCGGTTTCAGTTAGATTAGCGGAACGAAGGAAGTTAGGATGGGCGGAATAAAACCGCCATACTCAATTGCAATATAATGAGGTGGGGAGACAGAGAGAGATTGCTGAATGAATCTTTGTTCATCAAATCAACACCCACCTAACCCAATAGATGCAGAAATGTAACAAATTATTTATTATAACTTTTTCCTTGGGTTCCTTATGAAACATAGGGATTCAGTAGCACGTCTCCAGTGTACTCTGTTCTCTGCAAACGTCTTAACCTGGCTCCATGGCAGCTCAGAAGCTCTCATTTATTCTTCACACTATCTCTTCCATGTCACCCTTGCCTCAGATGCACAACTCGTCGTTTACCATCCGAGTTCCGCTCGAGGGACTGGCCTGACATGTGATGTCCTCGAATGGTCTTCTCAGTGCACGCCCAATCCATCTCCACTTCCTTCTGCATATTTCTTGAGTGAAAGGTTCTTGGTCGGTTCGTTTCCAGCCAAGCCAGAGTTAGTTCCCTGTTGCTTATTATTTCTGGTCATCTGAGCAGAACCTCAGTAACGAGGGTAGTCAGTTGTTGATGAATGTCTGTAATTTGTTGGTAATGCCTTCCGTAACGTGCCAAGTCTCTGAACTATATTCTATATAGGACTTGACTGAATTAGTTTTGAACATCCAGATCTTGTTGTTTGTGCTGAGTGCAGAAGATCTTCACACTGGTTTCAGGTCAGTGAACGCCTGTCTTGCTTTCCCGGTCCTGGCTGATTTTGACATCCTTGTCTGTGCCGCCTGTAGTTGAAACAGTGCTGCCAGATAGGTGAAAAAGACTACTTCCTTTAAGTTTCTCCCATTCATGATGATTGCAGCTTGTTGTTGTTGTTGGTGGTGTTGGTTGGGCATCTTCATCACTTCTGTCTTTTCTACGTTCACTTGAAGTTCCGTCCTCACTGTCCTTCCTCTTCTGTCAACTTGTTAGTTTTTGCCTATAGATCTTCGAGTTTGTGCAACATTAGAGGCAAATCATTAGTGAAATCCAAATCTTCCAGGCTCTTTTCATCGGTCCAGTGTATCCCCAATTCTCGCTCCTCATGGTTTGCTGCATGATCGAGTCCACCACAATCAGGAGGACGATCGTTGATAGTAGGCAGCCTTGTCTTGCCCCTGTCTTCACTTTAAAGGTATCACTGAGCTTTCCATTGTGGATCATCTGGCATATGGCATGTTCATATAGTTGTTAGAAGAGATTGATAAAGGTTTGTGGTATTTCGTAGCGTTCGAGAAGTTGCCAAATTACTTCTTGGTAGACTCTCTCGAAGGCCTTTTCAAAGTCAATGAAGTTGAGGTAGAGAGTTCACTACTCTCTACCCTATGTCAAATCTTATACTGATAATGATATATTTTTTTTCTAAATATATGTAGGTATCAGATAATAATCAGCGTAGAATTGAAGAAGATGATGTTTGTCCAATATGTCAAGAATATCTACTCTCATCTAAACGATTTCCAGTAACATTTTGTCGTAAAAGTTGTGGTAACAATGTTCATATAAAATGTATGAAAGTGTTGACAGATTATCAAAGAAAACAAAATTCATTAGGTAAGTTAAACAATAATGATAGGGTATTGTTATTCCATTGTTGATCCCTTTACCCAGTCTACGCCAACCCCCTTCTTCTTTTCAGATCATCTGAAGGTGAAATATATCGATTTTGAATGTTCATTGATACTGATTATGCTCGTATCTTCAAGTGAGATGTACTCAACAACCTTCTGAACATTCATGTGGTAATCGATAGTGTCTATCAACTTAGGATGCATACTACATGACTACCCAAATCTCGATAGGTTAAGGAGTGTTCGAATCCCCTAGACAAATTCTATGTATCGTTAAAAGTCAACAAGGTGGTATCATATCACTTTAAACTCTTCACCATAAGAAGATGACAGTTTCAAACTTAATGGAATCGGTCTATCTGTCTCATGATTTATTTGAAGTTCAATGGAAAGATTTAAAAACAAACAAACAAGGATACCTAAGGTATTGTCAATATCAGGATGCATTAACTTCAATCATTCCTCTCATTAAACCAAAAATATACATTCTATAAGTCAACGGCGCATTCATAATTCTCAAGGAAGGAATTCACTTGACAAAAGAGAAGGAATCTCACAAAAAACTCGTTCTTCATCAGTAGAAGGCATAACAGGACCTTATAACCTCAAGTATGTTAGGAAATCATAAGTATACAGCATCAATCATTCTATAGTTCATAAGAAATGTTGTATACAAAAGGCAGAACATATTCTGGCATTGATAGACTATGGAAATTCAGAGAAATCCTGACAATAGGTCATCTAAAACACGAAGATATCATATTTTGCATAGAGGTAACATTAAACTCAGTGGATACGGACATCGGTGGACAAGTTAGAGTACAGTGTAGGTTGACAGTAAAAAAACATAAGACTTCTGCAGTCTTCTGCTTTAACGTGGCTCCACAACTGCCCACAAGCTTTCATTTCTTCCTAATACCATCTCCTCCCCCATGTCACCCTCGTCTCGGACGGCCGACTCGTTGTTACCGCTTTGGATTCCACTCGAGGACCTGACTTGACGCATGGTGTTCCCAGTCGGCCTTCTCAGTGTATTCCCAATCCATCTTCACTTTCTTCTACTGCATATTTATTGGGTGATAGGTTCTTGATTGGTTCGTTGGCAGCCAGATTGAGTTCCTTGTTGCTTATTCTTTTTGGCCATTTGATCTTTAGCAACGAGCATAGGCAGCTGTTGATATGATGCATATGTGTAGTCAGTTCCACTGTGTAGTTGGGTTTAAGAGCTTTCGAATGACTCTTCATTTATTTATGTATAACTTATATTTTGGAAATAATGGTATGTTTAGTAAAACTCTATATTATGCATTATATTGTTTATAGTGATTTCTGTTCAATATGTAGAGATGAGTCATGTCGTCTGAAATCTTTGCGTAAAATACGGTTAGTTTTGAGGGCTGAATTGTATGACTCACCGTATGGCTATACTTGAGTATACCAGACTGGGCAGACATATTATGAACCAATCACGTACAAGGTCTCTGTAAAGATTTCGTCGACAGAATCCCATGATTCAGACAGTCATCATCAGACAAGGGGTCATAAGAGGAATATTCTTGAAACAGGCTGAAGTGATTACGATATGTAGTTAGATAATTTGAAACTGATTGTTGTACAGTTTGTCTCACGGTGACATACGACTTCCGACTGATAGACCATTGGTTTAAATGCCGTCTATCACCTAATAAGGTCAAAACAGTCAAATAGTAACATTAGCCGTCATATTTCAGGTGTAGTTCGTTAACTACAGAGTGAATATTTGTATGATTTCTCAGAAGATGCCATTTTTAGGTGTGCAGATAAATTCGACGGATTCATCTTCACATTTCTTTTTCCAAGAATTCTTAACCTCGAGCAAGAAATCTACGGTAGATTTGCAATGGATCTAAACAATTATCATGAACTGACATCAGTTGATGAAGAACACATTGAAATCTTGGGAGCAGTGGACAATGGCTATTTCATCTTAGTATGAGACTAACTTCTAAGTAGCATACACCTTTGGCTCACTAAGGATCGGACCTTGTACCTTCATAGTTCATGAAGAGCATGTTTCTATTGAATCACTGGTACACAATTTTAGACTTCTATTAACTCATGAAGTAATGATGGACAGTGGCTAGCAGTGGAATCCAGGATGCACATTTCGTCCTATTTGGGACTCGTCAACTGGATGTACCTGCTGCCTACTATCATAAGATCACAGGTAATATGGAGGCATCCGCACAGGATCCCATATGCCAATAGAGACTGATCAATTCGGTTCAATCAACGACGGTATGATATAAAAACAATCATATTCTATTCACTCGTTGAGTATTTGTCATCACTCATAACTTGTTATGATGATTTTGGGAAATCTTAAGTTGACTAGACATGCTTCTGCCGTTAACTCATCAATACAGAAAGGCACATTGCATCCATTTTCAGTACATAAGATTCAACCAATCAGCTTAAGAATGGTGACACCAAAAAATATCAGCCAATAAGATTAAAGTAACCTTTATTGATGAAGTGAAACAAAGAAAGTCAGCCAGTCACATAGAATTGACCTTGATATATAACATTTAGATAAAGAAAGCAAGTGGTCGAACACCCCCTTCCCTTCTGAAAAAGAATTAAAACGTTAACCAATCAAATTCACAACATATTTAGCCAAGTACATAAGTCAAACGAACCAATTGGGATCAGTAAGATTAGTGAAAAATGGGATTTGAACCAACTCCACAAAATGGGATGGATGGGATAAAACCACTGTACTCAAGTGCAATATGATGAGGTGGAGAGAGGGAGTGATTGATTACTAAATGAATCTTTGTTCATTGAATCAACGCCTCTCCAACAGATGTCTACTAGGAAAGATCCAACACCTTTCTGTACCAGATGTAGAAAGTAATGTGACTACACTGGTATGATGTTGAGCGGTAATAATTTATGCTAGAAATGTCATCCAGTAAATAATACTGTATCATGATGAGTCCCATATTAGGTCGAAACGGCTGTCAAGTAGTACTACTCCTTTTTCATCAGTTCTCTTATTACTGATGTCTCTCAGTGATAGATATACCATCTAGATAAAAGCTGATAACATTATTGTGATCAAGATATTATCAAATAACTTGTAACGAAAACCTTTCTACATAGTTACACACGTTTTATTTCTTCTTTCATATAGGTATCACAGATGATGTCATATGTCCTGTTTGTCGACAAGCATTTGCGTCATTCTCCATTCTTATACATGAATTCACAGAAAATTTACATACCCCAGTCAAAATTGCTAATCAATTGAGTAGTACTACTGATTTAATAGTTAGTAGTCAGGTGATGAATAGATTAAATTTTGAAAAAAATCCTGTAAAACATTTAAATACTCGATGTTTATCTTGTCTACGTTCACCAATATTGGGGAATCTTTATCGTTGTGAAATATGTTATCAATTATCAAAAGATGATAATTTAAATCCATTTTTATGTGGTGGATGTTTTCGTTTAGATAAACATGCTGAACATGATCAGTATACTTACAAAGAGGTGAGTTGATAGGTTATTCATTCATGTGTATCTGCAATCATCAGAGACTTCATTGACTGCTTCCAGGTTTTGTTGTGGTCACTTTAAACCCTCTCACAGCCTATTCCAACTCCCTCCACCAGTATAGCATGTCTGAACATGCTCAGTATATGTCCAAACTATCTCACCTGATGACAGTTCACCTATCTTAGCAAGTATGACTGAAAATTCATTATCATAAAGTTGAAAACGTGACAGAGGTGAGGCAGTCACGAAATAGAAACTGGAGGATGAATGAGTAAGATTTTGAATGCGTCACATTACTCTCCCTTCCTTTGGAGACACTGTCCTCGGTGCCTGGTTGTATCTGAATGAGTTACAGGCTAGGTAGAGTAAGCGAAGCTGATGCGAATTACAGTTGAGTGGATGTCTGCTGTCGACTCCACGTCGACTTGACCATGAGCAAGCCAGAGTCGACCTCCCACATCAAAATATAATGACTAACTGTCGAAACGTCTTCGTCGCACCTGGTTGGTAGGTGCGTAGACCAGTGTAAGTTTAGTGGTAACCACGAAAGTTTGTAAGGGTAAAGAAGAAGAGAAAAAGGTGGACTGATGGCTCAGCTAGTACAAACTCTTATGGATTAGACAGTTGAGCTAACATGTCAAAGATTCCTTATGGTTCATCGGCTGTCAGTTGAAGATTCCAAACAAACTTCACAAGATTTATCACCTAAACTCTTTCAAAATATCCTAAATCTGTACTCACATTTCTTGAGTTCAATCAATCGAAATTCTCTATGAGTCTAAGTTAAAAACACGCACAATTTCATAGTGAATGTTCATTAACCCAACGCAAATTTATTCAATAAATTCATATATCTTCATTTACGTCATTCAATGTTCAACGTTTCTTTAAGTCAGTAGGGTGTTTTACTAATTTAAAATTTTCTATCAAATTGTCACCAGCATATTATAAGTTCATGATGAATTCTTACCGAAAAGCAAACAATAAATCTCCACAGACATCTAGATAACACTCATTGAATCGAATCGGTTCCTAATGGAACATACTGCTTCAGTAGCATGTCTCCATTGCACTCTCTTCTCTACATTCTTCTAAACACGGCGTGACGACTGCTCAGAAGCTTACATTTCTTCCTCACACTGTCTCCTCATGAATATCACCCTTGGATGCCAAACTAGCAGCTAAGATTTCGATCAAACTCGGTGGCCTGGCACATGATATCTCAGTCTATGTCCAATCAATCTCAACTTCCTCCAACTGCATATTTCTTCAGTAATGCGTTCTTCGTTGATTCGCTGTCAGCCAGCCAAAGTTCATCCCTCCTTATTGCTTCTCACCGTCTATCTCAGCTTCAGTATCGAGTGAGCGTAGGTGCCAACTGTTCATGATGTATGTCTCTAGTTGGTTTCAAATGCTTTTCGTAACCCACAGAGTCTATCAACCATCACATAGAGACACTGACTTGACTGATTCAGTGTTGAAAATCCAGATCTTGATCACGCTTTATGCAGAGTGCAGCAGATCTCCACACTCATTATTTCAGATTAATACAGAATGGTCTGTCTTGCTGTCTTTCCGATCCTCGCTGCTTTGACATCCCCATCTGTGCCTGTGCCCAATGTAGTTGAAATTATGCTGCATAGGGAGGTAGGTAGGCAGGTAGACGAAATGGACAACCTCCTTCAGATTACTCCCATACTTGGTGATTGATTGGGTATGCCAATGATAATTTCTTCTTCTATCAAACTGACTATGATGACAATCAATTTCCTATTCAATTTGCAGGTGTCTGAGAAGGCTGATTCATTTCAAATGCCACATTTTCATTCTCAACTGACATCACCTAGTGAACGATTGATAGTCTTCACAGGATAAGACACATGTTTCAGTCTGGCCCTACACTCTTTAGTCGTGTACATTCATCACTCGATTGAGGAGCCTTTCATTCACTGGTTTATCAATCAAACGCCAACAGGTTCACCTCATGACTAGTCACTAATCAGAACTTGATTGACAGTTTATGTACACCGTTAAATTACTCAAATAGTCGAAATGAAACATGATTTCAAAACAAGTTTCTCAGTGTGTTGTTCAACATGCAATTCTCATATCTAAAACAGGATGCTCAATTCCCAGATGATTTCCACATTTCACCTTGACATTACTCACAGTGGAATAGTCTTGTCAACTGTGAACCGCCTATCGTGTTGACAAGGTTCCCTTGGGAAACCAAGTACTCAGTCAACATTACAACCTCTCATCTCTGATATAAAAGTGACACGAACCACCGAAATATGCTACCACTGTAGAAGTTGAGTATTTAGAAAACACTCAATCTGTTGTGTAGTATTTCGCCAATCAGACCAGTGTGATCTAAGCAACCTGGATAGCCGTTCATCTGTAGTGTACCCAAACAACTTCCACTCACCAGATCACTTCATCTTCACTAGCTAGCTGACTTGTATACACCTGGTGACATCTACTAGTCAAATTCAAGCAATCAAAATACTGACTTGACCCTATCAACTAAACAGTTTGTCCATTCACACAGCTGATTAACCTGGCCTGAAACAGACAAAACTCCTGTCAACTGTTTGTATCACTTTGATCCAGTTGGTTGGCTGACGACACCTCCAAATCACGATGTCACTGTTATGTTGAATTCGGTGACTGATGGAGGAATCCAGCTGGACGCGAGTTCAGTCCTGTTTGAGACTCATCAGCTGAATATACCTGCACCCCAGTGTTGTTCCAACTAAGGACAAACCCACTACTCTTCGCTTCAAACACCAGATCCTTATCCACTAAGCCACCAATTGTGCAACAGACATCACTTGTTTTCATTATGATACTCATAAACCCAGATGAAGAGTCTGAAGGAGAACGAAACGAGCATCAAGCTGGATTCCTCCACTAGTCACTCAGCTATTTATTCCTTTCGTCTTCTGCATCCCAATCAGGCAGTCTACAGCCCATTCAAACAGTCATGCACTTCCTATACTGATGTCACGTTTTACTTTGGTCACCTTGAACTCATTTACCAGCCTAGTCCAGTGTCGTTGTTAGTGGTCACACAAAATTTCCTTTACATGTCCAAGCCACCTCCATTACAGGAGGTTCACAACCTCATTGACTCACTTGTCACTGCCTTCTCGCCTAAAACATTTCGGTTTTGTCATCATCATACATTTGGTTCCCAATTAGAATTTCAACCGTAGGTTGACAACAAAACTCATGAGTATGAATTATCTCTGTCTACAGTTTATTCATTTGCTTCACAGTTATCCTCAACATGTCTGGTCGTCCGTGGAGTCAGTCTAGACAATACCATTGAAGTACTCAGACGAGGACTCACCTCCTTCAGAGTTGGTAACTGGTCCCGAGTATAGAGTGAATTCTATCTGTTACATTTACAACATGGAGAGCAAGCAAGGAGGCTCTTCAAAGCGGTGCATACTGGTAGGTATCAGTAGGCTGGAGTCGTCAGATGACAATGAATTCATTTCCTTTGTTCCTCCAACTGATGTCAGTCTACGATGAATAACAACTTGAAATATTTCCAAAATCCACACAAATCCCTCGAAATTCTATTGAAATGGTGCTCATTGGTGACTAACTCCAAGAGGTGATTCCCGAAGTTCCAGTGAGAAGTCGTGACCGGTGGGGGCAAAGCCTGATGGTCGTGAGAACAGTTACTGAAGCGTCACATTGGCTGGTGGTTGCGCTATATCGTGAGCTCACAGAAGTTGTAAATATGGACGATTGGAATCTGATCCAGTGGTTCAAGTGTAGCGTGCTGGCCACGGAACCTGAAGGTCGTTGGTTGGATCCGGGGAGGGCGGTGTCGTGGGTGCGCACTGCTATGGAGTCCCATACTAGTCGAACGAAACAGCTATCAAGTGCTCCCAGATTTTCTCTCTTCATCCAACTGGCATCTGTTTACGATGAATAACAACTTGAGATAGTCAATATCCGTTTTACTGATGAAACATTCAAGATACCGATTTTCAAAGGCATCCATCTATACAAATACTAATATGTTGTCCATCCTACATTAGTTTTCTGTGGAATATGTTCATATATATATATATATATATATATATATATATATATATATATATATATATATCATTTGCAGATAAGAATCCCTCTAAACTTTCTCTGTCTTTATTTAGTTACCAAACAGTAAATGGTTGGATGTCCCATTGAATCGAGGTGCTATCAAAAATCTGACTATTGAGTTTATTAAGAAAACTGATGAAGCCGCTGAAAATCAAAATCTTAAGTAAGTAGCATAAGTAGTGATAGATTTAGTTTCAATCATCTCAGAGAATTTATCTCTCATAGCTTAGTTGAGATACTTGAGCTAGATACGAACTGACTACTCAGTAACATGATGTGTATGTGTTGAAAAGCTTCAGTTATCTATCTAATTCCTTGATTTTACAAAACTAATCACATGGAACATTGAACATATGACCAAGTGTAGCGTAGAAGAGCGCTACATTGAATCATTGAAACTTCAATCGGCTGCCACTCTTTAAATCATCCGTACTAGTAGCTCAATAATGAATACATGTACAGATCTTACAACAGCAGTCTACAACATATCCTTATCAAGACGGTGTATAAAAAGCGTTTACTTTGCATTACGGAGGATCATACAGTACAAAAATGGCAATCAAAGCTGTGTATTCAGTAGAAACTTTGCTAGCCAACGTTCTTATTTATCGTTTGACGTTTTAGAATCACTATTTTAATTCTCAAGGTGAACCCTACAATGACTAAATCTCATTTCTTCAGCACATATGCCCACTGAGTATATGATAAAAGTGATTTTGCAGCGTTTTTCAATAATTTTGCATGGTTGTATGTAGTCTTAAGCAGGTGATTCTGCTGACTCAGTCTGATCGATGATCTTACACCTGATTGGTCTAGAATAATATGTCTGCTTAAACGTATTCATTTACTCTACCCACACATTGGGTGAGTCATACAACTCAGTTCACAAAACCAACTTCGTACAACAGGACACCGGTCTGATTCATATATATATATATATATATATATATATATATATATATATATATAATCCTGACCATAACGAAGATGAAACAATCACTTTCACGTAGAAAAGATGAGATAATACACAATTGTGAATAGATTTCATTCAACAGGCAACGATTATTTACCAACTATCCGGGATATATGAGTGGATAAAGAGTCAGTCGAAAGTTCTTCAACCGTCTGTGACCTAGACGAGATATCCTTTTCATTGAAGTTGTAGATGTGCTTTCTTAAAGAGTGCCAAGTAACCCTAGATTGTCTCCAACCAACTAATATCTATCAGGAGGGTAGGCAGTTGTTGATGAATATCTGCCGTTTTGTTGGAAATGCTTCTCGTGACACACCAAGTTTCTGAGCCATACAGAAGAATTGACTTGCCTGACATTAGTGTTGAAAATCCGGACGCTGTTCATGCTTTATGCTAAGTGCAGAAGATATCCACACTGGTTTCAAATTAGTGAAAGTCTGTCTTGCTTTTCCGATCCTGGCTTTCGCGTGCTCGTCTGTGCCGCCACCTGTAATTGAAACGATGCTGCCTTGATAGGTGAAAAAGACAAATTCCTTTAAGTTTCTCCTGTTGATGGTGATTGGAGCTTGTTGTTGCTGTTGATAGTGTTGGTTGGGTATCCTGATTACCTCAGTTCTCCATTCTCGTTCATTTCACCAAGTGCTTCTCTACCTATGGTTAGTTCTCTTCGTGTGTTGTCCGCTCCAAGTTTGGCATTCAGTTCATCCATTAGAATTTTGATGTCGCCAACTGGAGTATTATGTAGTAGTTATTATAGTTGTCCGTAGAATTCCTCCTTTTTCTCTTTCTCGGCATTATTCGTAGGTGCGTAGCATTGCCACTGAATGATTGTGACTTTCCTTCCTCTTGAGTTGAATCCATCTTGCTGTCATGATCCTGCAGGAAGAGACTGGTTCCCACTGCATGAGAGCCTTCGATGCTGTTGGGGACATCATGATAGCCACTCCCTCCGTGTGCTCGTGGCTGTCACCTGGATGACCGGAGTAGATTATTGACTCTCCAGTTAAGAGTTTGGAAAGTCCACTTCCATTCCACCTACTTTAGCAAATTCCTAACACTTCAATGCTATACCTTCTCATCTCGTTTGCAATCTGGGCAGCCTTGCTGGGTTCAAACATGTTGCTGACATTCCATGTTCCCATTCCAACCTTCGCTTTCATCGAGAGAAGACACATCGGCCTATTGGCTTCCCGAAGGCTTTCACCGAATGGCGCCATTTCGTCTCTCCGATTTCAGCGAGGAATAAGTTTGTCTTTATGTTTTATATTTTCACTGATTGATGTAGTTCCGAATGTCACAAGGGATACCACTACCCTTAGGGCTGTATATACATGCCATGCTGAAAATAGAACAATAAGATAAGTGGTTATCTAACATGCCTAGACCTATTGGTGTTTATCATCATTTAAGCATAATATCCTTTTCCTTGATAACTACTTTGTTCATCATATTCTTGATTCCGATTGGTCAGTGAATACTTGAACATGATTCGCTGTTGCAAAATTTTGACTAAATTCAAATTTTTAATCATTGACAAATAACAGACAGTTAAAGAAACATATTTTGATCAAATGAAGGTAAAATTTTTACGCTGACATGGTAATAATTTCCTCAGGCTCACTGAAGTGACGATAAAAGTAACCAATTACGTTTCTTTGGAAAGGCAGTTTTTGCCCAAACAGTCTTAACATTGACCTTTCACATGATTGGTCTAGAATAACATATATCTGGCCAATCACGTTTATCTAATCCATTGACTCAATGGATGAGTCATTTAATTCGGCCTACTAAACCAACCGCGTACAACAGAACACAAAGTCGGCTGCTTTTGTTTCGTATATATTTAAGACGATCTAATTCATGTGTAGATACAAGCGAAATATGTCGCAACAACACATTATAATTTGTAATTTCTACTTGAAATATTTTCTAAATCCATACGACTCCCTCAAAATTCAATTGAACTGATGCTCATTGGTGGTGACTTACTTCCAGCGGTGATTCCTGAAGTTCCAATGAGGAATCGTGACTGGTGGGGGGCAAAGACTGACGGTCATAAGGACGACAACATTAGGTGGCGGTTGCACTATATCGTGAGCTCACAGAAGTTGTAAATATGAACGGCTGGATTCTGATCCAATGGCGACGGGTTCTATCCGAGGAGGGTGGTGTCTTGGGTGAGCACTGCTGAGGAATCCTATACTAGTTGGACGAAACAGCTGTCCAGTGCTCCCAGATTTTCTTTGTTCCTCCAATTGATGTCAGTCTACGATGATAATAGATTGATTTGATTCGACAGATAATAAGTGATAAGTAAACAGAAGAACTTTAACCAAACAACCTGTGAAATAATATTCCCAATCGAATCAATAAAATAGTACACAATCAGAAGAAAAGATAAACACCGACCCATTAAGTGTCTACGCATATATATATATATCCAACCAGCCAATCACAATGTGCTGAATATTATTATCAAAAAAACTATGTGATTATGTGTATGCAATTCTGATTGGTTAAAGGAGTAGAAAATATCAAGGTCAATGAAAGTATATATATATATATATATATATATATATATATACTTGTGTTCTAGTAAGTGAATGATACTCAATAACATCAGGTTTACATTAGTATTTTGGTATTTTTATTATTATTATTTCTTTTAAAAGTTCAATAGAAGAATCAAATGAAAGAGAACCATTGGAACCATTACAATTAAATGAACTAGCCAATATTCATCAATGGATAATTCATACTCCTAGAAATCGATCAAATATTACTCAATTAAGAAAAAGTCCTAGAGGAAAGTTATCTATCAATTCTATGTACAGTAAAGGATTACTGTCACCAGGACGTCAATGTTTAATTTGTTTAATGTCATTCAAGGTTAATGATCAAGTGAGGCGATTATCATCAGGATGTCAGCATATATTTCATTCTGCTTGTATTGATCCTTGGTTACTGCATAGGTGAGTTAGCATATATATATATTACCCAGTGTTTGTGTCTGCTTTGAAGTTTCTTTAACGATTGGATTGGTTTTACGGGGTAGGGTTGCTAGCCCTACGCCCAACATTCCCTCTATACCCCGGGCTTAAGATCGGCTAGTAACTAGTGAACTAGTTAAACAGGCCAGATGGCTAGAAATAATAAGCAAACAAGGAACTCTCGCAACAAACCAACCAAGAACTTATCACTCAACAAATACGCAGGTGAAAGAAGTGGAGATGGATTGGACATACACTAAGAAGACCGACTGGGGACATCACGTGCCAGTCCCTCGAGTGGAACACAGATGGGAAGCGATGAGTTGGGCGTCCCAGCTGAGGGTGACATGGAGGAGGAGATGGTGTGAGGAGGAAATGACAACTTCTGGGCTATCGTTGAGCCAGGTTCAAAAGATTGCACAGAACAGAGTGCACTGGTGACGTGCAACTAAAGCCCTATGTTCCATTAGGAACCGAAGGGACAAATTATAATAATGTGTCTGCTTGATAATTAGATGTCAGAGTGTCTATGTGAAGGAGTTTTACACAGTACACTTAAGTACTGATGGCTTGTGAATCAACAAAGAGTCTCTTTGTGGTATGGCTGCACTGTTAAATTGACTCTTGATGAGATCATTGGATGGTTTGATTGACCGTCAGGATTCCGTACAGTATCTTGACTGTAACCGCTATGAATTTCTTGGCATATTACGCTCACAGACCAGACCTTCTATAAGAATGTATTATCATGAAGGTGCACGATTGCAGAGATTTCAGTAAGATGCCTCCCACACAGAACATCATGAGAATGTGTATGCGTTGAAGCCTGACAATTGTAAGGATAGTGAGGTAACACTTAATCCTAAGTGCAAACCACCATCACTATGTACCATGGTAAATGTTATTTCGATGGAGGCTGGTTTGGATATCACAATGGAGGTCACAAATACATCCTGCCAACCAGTAGTAATAGGCTTAAAATCTAGGTGACTCGCAATGGAATCCAGGACGCGTATTCCGTGCCCATAGTGCTTCAGAACCAGTACTGAACTGACTAGTATCGAGGAATCTCATCCTAGAAAGTGAAACTCACCTCTTATCACTACTCATCTCTTATCTATTCCTCAGCTGACATATCAGTCTGTAACAAGATTTATATCACTCACTTTATAGACTTGATGATCAAAACGATGAATTATGAATCCTATTGAAATAGTAAAAGAGGATTGAATTTTTGAGGAAGTTGCTACTTCAGAGAATAAAACTTCTGCAGTTTCGATTTCGTGACTATGATAGATGGTACGAAGAGCAATTGTCGATTTGATTTGTAACTTCTCCAGTTATATGAAATTATTCAAATGTCGCTTTAAATAGCTTCCATGAGGATTTCATGGGATAATTTTCAAACATAGGAGGCTTCAAAATTGCCATTTCGTCAACTAGTTGACTTGGAGTACGCAGACGATATTGTCCTGCTCCATGAAGACACTCATGCAATGCACTGTCTTTTAAACTTGTTAGGTAAAAGTCAGAGTATTTCCGGGGTGCGTTTCACACCTGTTGCATGTAAGATGATTCCCCAGGACTGTTTTACAATGACTCCCAGCTTAACATTTGAGAGTGAAGTGGTGGGAATGTGTCTACCACTTTACTTAGTCATTTGAGGAGTTGCATGAGCCCGAATGAGGTAATTGCTGAAGAAATCACATCTCGGATACAAAAGGCCTATATTGTATTTGCTAATTTGTGTAACCTGTTGCACCTTTTGTCTATCAGAAGACTAGTATACTGCGCTGAAGTCCCTTCTGTTCTGTTGTACAACTGTAATACATGCCCATTAAGATTTGAAGTGGTTGTCTTGATAGACTTGCTCGTGTGTAGTAGAGACACCGTATGAACAATGTCGAAGACAGGCGAAGGATACTAGGTGAACCCTCATTGGCTAAACTGGCTCTCACACACACTGCACATACCACGTTACCTCCATCTACCTTGTAGTTCCCTACTAAGGGTACTTGGATAAGGTTGGAAGAGGTTTCAAGGTGGTCCTATAGGGAGACAGACTGCCTGGTTGGGGTAAATTCAATTCCACTTTGGCGGAATGGACTCATTATTTGGCTTCCCTCTTGACCTCACAGGTTGGTAACTGATAAAGATGATGTCTATCTCCATATTATTATCATCATGTTCGAAAAATGTGATCTTATTTATCGCCATATACAACTTATGCATTCGGAGAGTGATGCAGACTGTATTCACTGAAGAAGAGACTTCCATGACGTCATGAAATGTTAGCAAGTACCACTCTGTATGATTCGAAACCTTTTAGACCTTGTGAAGGTTGAGAACAAAGACATTTTAGCTTTGCTGGTAATAGCCCCACCCACGGTCCCGCACCATCAGAAATAGAACCCGCGACCTTCAGTTTCTATGGCCAGCACGTCACACTTGAACCACTGGATCAGATTCCAATCGTCCATATTTACAACTTCTGTGAGCTCACGATATAGCGCAACCACCAGCCAATGTGATCGTTGAGTAACTGTCCTCACGACCTTCAGGCTTTGCCCCCACCGGTCACGACTTCTCACTGAAACTTCGGGAATCACCTCCGGGAGTCAGTCACGAATGAGCACCATTTCGACAGAATTTTGAGGGAGTTGTGTGGATTTTGGAAATATTTCAAGTTGTTATTCATCGTAGACTGACATCAGTTGGCCACGGAACCCAAAGGTCGTTGGTTGGGTCCGGGGAGGGCGGGGTCGTGGGTACGCACTGCTTAAGAGTCTGATACTATGATGAAATAGCTGACTAGTGCTCCCAGGTTTCCTTTGTTCCTCCAACTGATGTCAGTCTACTATGAATAACAACTTGAAATATTTCCAAATCCCCACAACTCCTTCAAAATTTAATTTAATTTGTCTAATTTTTCTCTTATATCAATCCATACGGACTACTGTGGACATGAATTTGACCGGGAAAATATGAAAATCCTGGCTAGATGTAGGAAATACAAAGGGTGTCAGCAGTCAACAGACATATCGATATTGATTCTGTCTGTCAACCAATAAGAAGGTTGAATTTTAGGTCATTAGAATAGCCAATCAAAATAAACGTCGAGACGAATACAGCCAATCACACACAAGGTCATCAGGAAAAGCTAGTATATAAATTGTGGAGAAAACCTTATCACTTACTTTTTTCTGAAGCTTGTGCTCATGATGCTGTCTAGAATGACGACGAAAACTCCATGACTAAACCATACAGCTCATGTAACACACCACTATTAAATTTACATTCTGCTGTCAATCCTCTATCAAAGTTAACATGTTATAGGATACCGCTGGATGTGATTTAGTGATTAGTTTCATTTAACCATCTTTTAAACAAATACAGATGCTTATACCACCTTATGGGCATCTTGGATCCACTTGTGTTAGTACTACTCATCTGAAGTATATTGATTACGGCTTATAGTTGACGAAAATAGGTGTAACCAACTTTTGGAAAGTGTTCTCCTAACAAGATTGAAAGTTTAAAGACTATATTCTTGGCGCTCTAGTTCTCCTAAACAACCTAACCTATCCTAAGTTGATATTGGCTTCAAGTTGAGATTCTCTGAAGGTTATGGGTTCGATCCCGTGTACAAAAACTTATTTACATTGCCCTGTGAAACTTTGCTGATATTTTATTTCCACTTTCATAGACTTGGTCTAACTATGCATACTCCTCTCTCCCATTACTTTCTCCTAGGTTACAGTAGTACATTTTGATATGTTACACTCTAATCGATTTCATAATTGTAGATTGATAAATTCGTCATTCCTTTGTCTACTTGCAAATCACCTTGAAATGTTAACCTTGCATGTGATTGGTCTAGAATAATATGTCTACCCAGTGGTATATATTCAGTACATATACACAATGAGTGAGTCATCCAATTCAGTCCAAAAAATCAATCATATACAATAGAACACAAAGTCGACTGCTTATTGATCGTATATATCTTAAACAGTCTGACTCATCTGTCCATAGACAACCGAATTATCAGACTGACCACAAATCATCATGATTATTTCCCAACTATAAGGCATACATGAATGAATGAGGAGTCAATTGAAAACTCTTGAACCGTATGAGCTTTACAATAATATTATCAATTGAGTCATAAGTAAAATCAATAAAATAGTAGATGATCAGTGATGGATTGTAGTGCAAAACAAGCTGATGGTTTGGTCCTATTTACAGCGCAGGAAGTCGTGTTCCAGATAAGACTCGAACTCAAAACGTGTTCTACATTCCACTATTAGTCACTATTCATCATTTAATAACAAACTTTTCACTTGTTTATCCAATCACAGATAATGTTTTTGGTTGATCTTTTGTTTCTGTGTGTAAAGATCACCCACCTGTCCAATTGATCATGTCATTGTTCAACCTAGAAAATTACTACCTGATCAATCATTAACCATCAGAAATGATATATCAAGTCTAGAAATGGATAAGGTATTGAGTAATCACCATAAAGAGTTAAAAATCTGTGCAAAACAAATTGAAACTAAACCAAAAATGAAGACAACAAAGTCTTTGAAGAATGTAATACCACCTAAGATTGATTCATTACAACAAGGAATATCTATTTCAAGTGTAAGTTATAACAAATTTTGGCAAAATATTCTTTTTACATTTGCGTATACATCCCACTTTCTTATTAACTGATGATGATGATGATGATGATGATGATGATGATGATGATGATGATGATGATGATGATGATGATGATGATGATGATGATGATGATGATGATGATGGTAGTTATGTGTTATGATTTGACACCAGGATAGCCGCTATACGAGGTAATAAAAACTGGATTTCAAGTGAATATAGAGAAGATGGAGGTGATGAAGCTAACCAACGAACAACAGCATCAACAACATGTACCAATCACCGTCGACGGAAGGGACCTACCTACCTAGGCAGCATCGTTTCAACTACAGGTAGCACAGGCACAGATGAGGACATCAAAACCAGGATCGGAAAGACAGCAAAATAAGCTTTCATCAACCTGAAACCAGTGTGTAGATCTGCTGCACTGCACTCAGCGCAAAGCGTGAACAACATCCGGATTTTTAACACCAATGTCAAGTCAGCGCTGCTATATGTTTCAAAAACTTGGCGCGTCACGAGAAGTACTTCCAACAAACTACAGACATTTATAATCAGCTTCCACCTACGCTGGCTCAATACTAAAGATTAGATAGCCAGAATAATACGAACTCTAGGAACGAACCAACGAAGCAAGAACCTATCACCCAACAAGTATGGAGAAGAAAGTGGAGATGGATAGGACAAACACTGAGAAGGCTGACTGAGTACATCCGGCACCAGGCCAGTCCCTCGGTGAGTTGGGCTTTCCGGACGAGGGTGACATGGAGGCGATCATGTGAGGAAGAAAGGATAGCTTGTGGGCAGTGGTGGCGCTAGGTCCAAAAGACTGCAGAGAAGAGAGTGCAATAGTGGCGTGCAATGTTCCCTATGTTCCACTGGGAACTCAAGGGAAAAATAAATTATATAATAATGGCCGCAATCCACTCATGGATATCTACTGTTGGTCACTGATGTTCAACAACTTCCTGATATGGGACTACCCAGCAGTTTACACTCATAAGCAGCTGCTGAAGGGTTTCATACTAGGACGAAATAGCTACTATCCAGTACTCTAGTCCATAGTGAATTCCGATTAGTAAATCTCTACAAACTTCGAGACAGAACTTCCTAGTTGATTCCCGGCTTGATTAATTAATTGAAGGAAACTTCATGACCGCGTAGGAAACGTGTGTTTGGATCGAAGACCGAAATCAATAAACAAAGGCAAATACGTCTAAATATAGATAGTCCAGTGTTTGAAATAATGATGCTGATTGGCTGACGATAGGTCTGTCTGTCTAATTATAGACATGATTCACATAAACTACATTTTGATTGGTCCATTTCCAAACTGATCTTTTCTTTCTCTCTATCCCCTTGTCTGTCTGGCTGTCCAATAAGATTTTGGTCCAATGATTGACGAACACTGCCTTTTTGATACAGTCTAGTGACCTTGAGGACAAACAGTCAAAGACGATGTAGGGCGGCGGTCGCGCTATGTCATGAAAGGACAGAAGTTGGAAATATGGGCCACTGGATTTCGCTAACTCTGTGGCGGGTTAGGTCCCTGGATAGGTGGGGCCATGGGTACGCACTGCTGAAGAGTCCTGTACTAGGACGAAATAGCTGATTGCCATTTTGACTATCCGAGATACTAGCTATGGTTTGATAGACTAGTATTATTGATCCTAGGTGATGATTGGAGGTGAGGTGGAAATTTGTACTGTGGCAGGATTGGAACCCGCGACCAAGCGATAGTATCGTATCATGAATTCACATAGTAGTTGGGTAAAACCCTGTTTGTGTTTGATTTGAAATAATAGTCTAGTAGTCAGTAGTCGGTGGAGCACCAGGCCGGTAACCGGGTGTTGGTGGCTGTTTCGAATCTGGCGGCGATCTAATCTTGAAGTTTTCAATGCAGACTGGAAAGAAAGCCAATTTATTTACATTTCCAAGGTGTTATCATCCACTGCACCAGGTGAAGCAGATGGTATTCTACTTTCCTCACAAAATGAAACTACTAGGTCAAAAGTTGGATGTTCCTTTTCATTGGTCAATTGAAGGACGAAAATTGTCCAATCAGATTTTATCCACCCACATGAAATCAAGGTTGAAATGGAAAACTTCTACATTGGTGGCTGTTGACTCAGAACGTTGATTACTATTTTAGTCACTTTCTAACACGTTTAACACTTTCTGATGAGATGTTCTACCGTAAATATTCATATAGAAAGAAAAATACGCTCTGGGATAGATGAAGTCCTACCATTTTGGAGCATAGAGAAGTGTGCTGTCCTCGATAGACTCTGAAGTAATGGAAAGATATTAGTGCTATTAGTGACATTAGGGAACACTAAACTATAATCGTCTTCACTCTCAGCTAGAAATCCTTCGGATCATTCATACTTGTCACCAAAGCGTACCTGTAATCTTGAGGGGACAGATGTCCAACGTGAGATATTGGAAACCATGTAACCAAATATCACAGTTAGACATGTTACCAGGAAGATATTTGCGTTCTTAGAGAGTAACCAATCTCATGTTGTCTAATACTCAAAGCTAACCGAGGTCTACCAATCATAATTCAACACTGATTACCCCCAACCAACTAAGGTCTATTCACATCCTCCAAGATGACCAGCCTTCTAGCTTGGTTGCCACATCTCAAGTAAATGTTGCACTCAGTACTATAGGAAGTCGATCGCAGCCGGAATAGCTCAGTGGTAAGATCGCCGACTACGACACCGGAGGTTCGGACACCAGATGGGACATCAGTTCCGAAGAGGTGGTTGCGGATAGGCCTTAAGCCAACTGATATCTAGCAGTGGGCGCCGCGTTGAAGAGCCTCTTTGCCTGCTCTTCATGTTGTAAATGTAACAGATAGAATTCACTCTATACTCGGGACCAGTTACCAACTCTGAAGGAGGTGAGTCCTCGTCTGAGTACTTCAATGGCATTGTCTAGACTGACTCCACGGACGACCAGACATGTTGAGGATAACTGTGAAGCAAATGAATAAACTGTAGACAGAGATAATTCATACTCATGAGTTTTGTTGTCAACCTACGGTTGAAATTCTAATTGGGAACCAAATGTATGATGATGACAAAACCGAAATGTTTTAGGCGAGAAGGCAGTGACAAGTGAGTCAATGAGGTTGTGAACCTCCTGTAATGGAGGTGGCTTGGACATGTAAAGGAAATTTTGTGTGACCACTAACAACGACACTATACTAGGCTGGTAAATGAGTTCAAGGTGACCAAAGTAAAATGTGACATCAGTATAGGAAGTGCGTGACTGTTTGAATGGGCTGTAGACTGCCTGATTGGGATGCAGAAGACGAAAGGAATAAATAGCTGAGTGACTAGTGGAGGAATCCAGCTTGATGCTCGTTTCGTTCTCCTTCAGACTCTTCATCTGGGTTTATGAGTATCATAATGAAAACAAGTGATGTCTGTTGCACAATTGGTGGCTTAGTGGATAGGGATATGGTGTTTGAAACGAAGGGTAGCGGGTTTGTCGTGAGTGGGAACAACACTGGGGTGCAGGTATATTCAGCTGACGAGTCTCAAACAGGACTGAACTCTCGTCCAGCTGGATTCCTCCATCAGTCACCGAATTCAACATAACAGTGACATCATGATTTGGAGGTGTTGTCAACCAACCAGCTGGATCAAAGTGATACAAACAGTTGACAGGAGTTTTGTCTGTTTCAGGCCAGGTTAATCAGCTGTGGAAATGGACAAATTGTTTAGTTGATAGGGTCAAGTCAGTATTTTGATTGCTTGAATTTGACTAGTAGATGCCACCAGGTGTATACAAGTCAGCTAGCTAGTGAAAATGAAGTGATCTGGTGAGTGGAAGTTGTGTGGGTACACCGCAGATGAACGGCTATCCAGGTTGCTTAGATCACACTGGTCTGATTGGCGAAATACTACACAACAGATTGAGTGTTTTCTAAATACTCAACTTCTACAGTGGTAGCATATTTCGGTGGTTCGTGTCACTTTTATGTCAGAGATGAGAGGTTGTAATGTTGACTGAGTACTTGTTTTCCCAAGGGAACCTTGTCAACACGATAGGTGGTTCACAGTTGACAAGACTATTCCACTGTGAGTAATGTCAAGGTGAAATGTGGAAATCATCTGGAAATTGAGTATCCTGTTCTAGATATGAGAATTGCATGTTGAACAACACACTGAGAAACTTGTTTTGAAATCATGTTGCATTTCGACTATTTGAGTAATTTAACGGTGTACATAAACTGTCAATCAAGTTCTGATTAGTGACTAGTCATGAGGTGAACCTGTTGGCGTTTGATTGGTAAACCAGGAAATGAAAGGCTCCTCAATCGAGTGATGAATGTACACGACTAAAGAGTGTAGGGCCAGACTGAAACATGTGTCTTATCCTGTGAAGACTATCAATCGTTCACTAGGTGATGTCAATTGAGAATGGAAATGTGGCATTTGAAATGAATCAGCCTTCTGAGACACCTGCAAATTGAATAGGAAATTGATTGTCATCATAGTCAGTTTGATAGACATCTGCTGGACATCTACTGCACTCAGCATAAAGCGTGATCAAGATCTGGATTTTCAACACTGAATCAGTCAAGTCAGTGTCTCTATGTGATGGTTGAGAGACTCTGTGGGTTACGAAAAGCATTTGAAACCAACTAGAGACATACATCATGAACAGTTGGCACCTACACTCACTCACTACTGAAGCTGAGATAGACGGTGAGAAGTAATGAGCAGGGATGAGCTCTGGCTGGCTGACCGCGAATCAACGAAGAACGCATTACTGAAGAAATATGCAATCGGAGGAAGTTGAGATTGATTGGACATAGACTGAGATATCATGTGCCAGGCCACCGAGGGTGACAGAAATGGGAAACGCATGTTGTGTGTCCTAGGGTGACATTGAGAAGGAGATGATTTTTAGAAGAAATGCAAGTTTATGGGCAGTGGTGGAGGCATGTTAAAGCAGAAGACTTCGGAGAACTGTGAGAGGTGGACACGTGCTACTGAAACAGTATATTCCACTACGAACCCAAGGGACAAATATTAATACATAGTAAGACATCTGATCATTGAGAGGGGTTGCATCACAAAGCCATTCTAGTTGCGTCTACAGGATGATGAGATAAATTCAATACAGAAAGATAGGTTGGGTAGAAAGAATGGGCAAATAGATGGAGTAATGGGGACAAGGAACACTTACAAACCATCAATTTTAATCTTAGTCTGCTGAATTTTTATTGGTTTAATGTTGGTTTCTACATTTCCAAACTGTCTGTTTATTTTATCCCATTTAATGCATCTGTTGTTCAAACTGATCTGTGCTATATTGATCCCAGAGGAATCCAACAAGCGTGTTTCGTCCAACCTTATACTCATCAGCTGGATGTACCTCCAACCCACTGGAGGCATTGGGATGTAACAGGTATCAAGCGTTGTAATGATACTTGTGATTTAACGTTGCTTTAAGTTATTTTATCCCCTGGAAGTCTCTTACTGGTTAGATGAAATCAGTTTTCCCACTTATCAACCCATTCACATAAGAAAAAACATTATTTTAATGGTTTTTCTGTATGGTGAATGTTTCATTTCCAACCTTTCTTTCCTTTTAACTAGGAATCTTATTCATCTGATAGTCTTAATGTGATTGGACAACATATGCTAACAGAATATACAAGAAAGTTGTAATTGACACATGAAAGTGTAGACCAGAAACATCCAACGACCAGTGTATGCAGTGTAAAATATTTAACTTTACTACTCATACTACTACCAAAATCATGAGTAGTTTGTAAATTTTAACCAAATATTTCGCGCTAGTGAAACTTAAAAATCCTTATGAAAAATTTTTTGAAATAAAGTAAAATAATTTTATGGCCTTTTTTAGATTGATTTTTTACTGCTTTATTCAATAAAATATTGATTAATTCATGCCTAGTGTAAATGGTTAACGGTTTCAGTTGAGGTTTAACCAGTATTAACGTTTTATACGAATGACTGAATAAACCACTTATGTATACCTGATTTTCTCCGCCTTTGGATGATTTCCACGAATCTTTTTTTTCTGAGATATTTCCAGAAATGCTTGAGTGAATATGTTAGTAAAGCCTTGTAAGATAAAGTATTCACATGTTTGTTAGCTATATGTAGTCTTAGAAGAGATGAATCATGAACCAAATAACTCAGTATCAATGCCCTACACTACAAGAGTCATTGTGGATATCAATGCCGTCGAGGTTTGTAGATATACTAAACAGCAGATATTAGACATTCATATCGAACAGCTAGTTGGAATCTGTTTGTTGAAGGAAAATACTAGTGGTTAGAATACGCAATTCATCCTCACTTGACACTTATCAGATGAGTATTGATTTCCAGGACATGTCATTTCTGACACATGATCTTTCTGATTGTGTTGAACTGGATCATGCAGTAAAATCGTGAGGAGTTAGAAGATGGTCATATACCGGCTACACCGATGAAAAGACCCTAGAAAAGATTTCGATTTCGTCCTGATGATGATTTATATCTAGTGTCGCACAAACTAGAAGATGTGAAGCATAGTAGCGAAGATGGGATTCCAAGTGAATGTGAAGAAGACGAAGGTGATGAAGATACCCAACTAACAACAGAATCAACAACAAGCACCAATCACCATCAACAAGAGAAACCTAAAGGAAGTTGTCTCTTTCACCTTCATACCTAGGCTGCATCGTTACAACTACAGGCGGTGGCACAGACGAGGACGTCAAAGGCAGCCAGCATCGGAAAGCTAGCAAGAGAGGCTTTCATTAACCTGAAACCAGTGTGGAGATCTACTGAACTTCACTCAGCATAAAACGTGAACAAGATCTGGATTTTCAACACCAATTCACTGAAGTCAGTGCTTCTATGTGATGGTTGAGAGACTTGGCGTGTTACAAAAACCATTTCCAACAAACTACAGATATTCATCAACAACTGCCTACGATGTCCGCATACTGAAGATCGATGAGATGGCCAGAAAGAATAAGCAACAAGGAACTCTGGCAACAAACCAACCTAGAACCTGTAGCTCAACAAATATGCAGGTGAAGGAAGTGAAGATGGATTGGGCATACACTAAGATCGACTGGGGACATCTCGCACCAGGCCAGTCCCTTGAGTGGAATCCAAAGTGGAAACGACGAGTTGGGCGTCCCAGCTGAGGGTGACATGGAGGAGATCGTGCGAGGAAGAAATGAGAGCTTGTGTTCAGTATTGGCGACAGGTTCAAAAGTTTGCAGAGAAGAGAGTAGAATGCAGACGTGCTACTGAAGCCCTATGCTCTATTAGGAACCCAAGGGATAAACAATAATAATAATAATACCGAAATTGTCATTGGTTGGTTATGAGGCGACTGAGGAAGATATCTGTAAGCCAGCAAGTGACTCCATCATTTCACACTCCTACTTCGTCAATTTCTTTAAGGTTTATCGGTCCATTTCAAAATACACCCACCATCAATTTCCTATTATTTTGTAGGTAGTACAACCTAACAGTCGCCAAGGGATATGAGAACCTACGCAAGAGCAACAACTCAAGTCATTGACAATGTTGTAGTAGAATGTAATTACCATATTAGATTTGTTCATTTGATGTACAACAGACAATGAGTTTTCCAGTATTACTTACTGGAGTCCATTTATGGTATAGGTAAGTGTTACGTCACTCCTATTACACATCTGTTGAGTGGATGTTGATTCGATGAACAAAGATTCATTCAGTAATCAATCTGTGTCTCTGTCTCTTTCTCCCTCCACGTCATTACATTACACTTTAGTACAGTGGCTATATCCCACCCATCTTATTGTTCGTGATTGGCTAAATTTCTATGTTCCCATAATCTAGCTGACTCTGACTGGCTAGTTTGACCTATGTAGTTAACCTCACAGTCATTCCATGGGATTTGGTGGGTTAGATTAATCTGCTTGATTGGTTCGATCGGATCAGTCTAAATGATTAACATTATCTATGTGAGTGAGTTTGCAGATATAAATGCCACCTGAACTAATCCCAGCCTTGTTGAGGATCCTACGTAAAGTTTGTGATCTTTCTTCCTGCCTTCCTTCTGTATAGGGTAACACAATGGAGGCTGTGAACTCCCTTCCACTTATTCTATTGTTATTATTTCGTGTCTTATGTGTTCCTACGAATTTCTTAATAAACCGTAGGGGATGATTATTGACTATTAGCGCTGCTTCACTGCCTCGTTTAGGTCCTTGAACTGACTAGTCACTTTTCTAGCTCTATGATTTAAACATTTGACTAAACCCGCCTTCAATGAGATGATGTGAAGCCTAGAATGTCAGTTTCCTGCAGATCGACGTCTGTTCTCCGTTCCAGTCTGCAATCTGACACAGGTAATTCTCCTTGTTCCTTTCCCACGTCGTAAGTGAATTGGATTGTGTCTACGACTTCTGAGTTTGTGTATGTGTGTGTGTGAGGAGATTGTTGATATGCTTCGATATAGTCAACTCAGTAGTAAATGTGTCATCAACATAACGCCACCATACCTTCCCCTATATCCATAAATATGTCTCAATCGATTGAGGATATTGTTGATCTCATTGCTACTACTTCTGTTTGTCTGTATATTTTCTTCTGAAAATTGAAGGTTGTGGAGGTCACTTACACCTGTACGCCTGATATCATCTCATCAACTGATATCTTAGTTCTATGAGTAAGTTCTTAGTTAGTATTGAGTTGATTTGTGACTGACTCTTTAATGCTTAAAACATTTCAGCATCAAGTCATCTTTGTGTCTCATTTCAAGTGTGTTCTTGTCAAATTATCATTGTCTACTGTAAAATCTTGTCAATCAGTCACTCACTCAAATGATAATCAGTCAATCGGTAACAAGTAACAAGCCATTTCTCCTTATTCACCATTCATATCCACTTCTCACAAATTCCTTCAACTAACCTGCCAAGTGTATTCTTGAATGAATATATGTATGTAGTGGAAAGAGTAAAAGGATGTAGAATTACTTCCTGTTAGGCGACCAAATGAGTAGAATAACAAACTGATGCATCATAATACAAAATATGATTACGCAATACTGGGCTTTTACCGTGAAAAGTGGAGGTCAGTTACAACTGTACACCATGGTGAGGATAAACTCCAGAAGTTCTACATTTGAACATAAACACTAATGTGAACTTCTGAATGACTAGTAAATCTTTCTGCTATGTTCAAATGCCTTGATCTCACACTTCCTTCGGATGGTTTGATTGGACCCTATAGAGAATTTTGAAATAATTCTTGAGAGGAAGTGAGTGACCTAAATTCACAAACTGTTCTATTATTAAGAGGAATATACATTTCTCTTCTCCATCTACTAGCCACATTGGATAGTGTTTTTAAAGATGGTCTACAAGCGGGCGCATGGTATCGTCAAGGTACCTAGTTCCACTTTCGTAAAGGAATCCTCCTTTTCAGCGATAAATTTGTACATTCAAATCCTTTCTTTGAATCTAACCTGCTTAGAAGGATACAATTTTCGAAATTATATACTCTGCATCCCATGTAAATTCATGTATACATTGAACAATAAGTGAATGGAATGTTGTATTTCAGTCTGTTTTCATAGTAACGTTGATAGAGTGGTAAACATTATTGAAAGTATGCAGTTGATTAACCAAACTCATATTTTCAGTACAAATCAACTGACAAGGGCCCCAATGGGGGACCCACTGACACACCAGCCATATTTCTAAGGATGTCATCTGCAAATATGAAGAATAAATTGGAAGTACATCATAGAAGATGAGGCTTTTTTGTGTAGTCATTGGAATTGACAACATCCATCATGAATTGATCTCCCACTACGGAAATGGTATTTGCACTGCGAGCGGGTTCGAAGCAGAAAATACTGGCCCCCCTTTCTACCAACTGAGCTACAAGTGTGTTTGAAGTGAAATAAAAATCTGGTGAGCAGTCACACCTTGACCTCAGTTGGTAGTACATCGGAACGGAAACACTATGATCCCTGGTTCGAATCCAACCATGGTCCAAATTTTTGTTTCATCTTCAATCATTATCTAGTATGAGTAATACTAGTCTGCCAAACCACGGTTGCTATTTCAGATAATCAAATGATAATATATACAACTGATATTTTGAATTTTCGGTTTTCACTGCCAACTTCAACTACTTATTCACTAATTAAGTAGTTTACTGAATTGTAAGTAATCTAGGTCATTGGTGTAGAAGTAACACTTGTACACTATTGGCATATGTGATGCTGTGCGGATGCCTCGATATTACTAGTAATATGTAAAAACAATCATATATGCTAAAAACTAAACCCATCCCACAAGAAGTGGTTATCGTGGCTAGGTGGTGTAGTCGATAACGCTCTGGTGTTTGAAGCGATCACTGCTGAGTCCGAATCCCGGTGGTGGGAACATCACTCCTCACTGGGAAGCAGGTACATCCAGCTGACGAGTCCTAAGTAGGACGAAATACGCATCCTGGATTCCATTTCCAGCCAATATTCATCATTATTGTCTATAGTCATGTCAAGGTAATTCCACAATATGCAGACACTCTACACATGATTTTAACCTTTTCTCATCTCCTTTGTGATATGCGTAGTTGGATTTCCTATATGTCTAGGAGGGATGCTGAGTTGTTATTCCTGTTGCTGGATGTATCTGGTGTTGATTACGCAGAAGATAATGATTCGGTTATCAATCACTCTCTCCATTCCACTATGTTAGTTTTAAAGATTATCATTTTATCCTATCGTATTGTATGTGGTTGTGTTTAGTAGCATGAACAGCTATATCCCAACTTTCTTCTAGATTCCTCATCTTCCCAGGACCTACCAGATTTGAT